TAAATTTTTATTAAATATAAAAAAAAAAAATCTAATATTTAATATTTTTAACTTGAAACAAAATATGATTCATCTTTTAAAATCGGAGAAGTAAAATAAATTTACATACAGGTATTAGTCGATAAACTTCTATTAAATATAAATAAGTAATATTTTATGTTACTAACTGGTAATATCAATTTATTAGTCCTTGATATTTTAAAATTAATATAAATAACTAATAGTAAGTAAAAATAAAATTTTTAAACTTTAGAATAATTTTAAATATAGGGATCTATAGATACTTTTTTAGAACTAATAATATACTACCAAAACAAAGTTATAAATACCAATGAAACAAGTCTCTTTTAAAAAATAAAAAACAAAAAAATCAAGAATACAATCTTAAAATGTATAAATTTAGTTGTACAATACAATAGTTAAACTTTAAAAATGTAATACGTATGTACCTTACCCCAGGCATAATTTTATTTATATGTCAATTTTAAAATTAAAAATTTGTTAAAAATTTGTTGGTACTTAATATATAGGTATAGTACTTCGTCAGATCCCAAGTTAATTGTGTTATACTTGTTACTTCTAAGTTCTAAGAATTTTCTATAAATAAAAAGCAATTCTTTACACTTCTAAAATCCTGAAATATTTCAAATTCATTGGATAAGGTAGCTAAATGATTTAAAATTATTATATTATTTGTGCTAAAAAGCACCCAAATTGTTGTTTTAAAGTTCATCAAATTTATTACTTTGTTGTAAAAATGCAGGAATTTCTAATCATAAAATAAAAACTCTTTCAAGTACTTTTTTTTTACTTAGTCAACGTACCGAAGTATATAAAAAACGGAATTTTAATTACTGTTCATTTCTTCTTAAAATGTTTTAAATTTTCTGTGAGTTCATTTGCTCGAATATATTTATCTATTTTTAATACGTTTTTCATCATTAAAAATATATCTAATTAACGAATTTTGAATTTTGATTTTGAAAAATAAATGTATGCTAGTATTATTTTTCTTCACTCTAATGTTCATACGCTTAAATATAAATAAGATTTTGTAAACCAATTTATTACTTGAAAATGAAAATTTTTTTTTAAATTCTAAATCAACACTATTTATTGATAAAATAGCTTAATATGTCAATAACAGTACCCTTGCCAATAATTGTATGCTTTGCCCTAATTATTTTTCAATAATTTCAGTTCAGTTTGCTTTATTATTCTTATATGATGTTGTTGAAGTAAATGCTGCTTCGGTTGCACGACAATCAAGTCAAACCGAGAATAATTTGTCTTGTGTAGTTATTATAGACGCAGGAAGCACTGGATCTAAAGTATAAGCTGCTGGTTTTAAAAAAAGTAGGTATTTATTTTTTTAATCTTACTCGTAAATTTTCTATGAGACGAAAAAAAAAATGAATTTGAATATAACAGTATGAATGAAACATAACTAGCAAACTAGTTTTAATGTCTTAAAACATTAATGTGATTAATTGGTGAGAGGTTGCGTGTGAGAGTAATTTTTTAATGATGAATAAAATCTTTGGTAAATGTGATAGAAGCGCTATTAACTTAGCATGGGTAAAAATACTAAAGAGTATCGGTGAGTGTAGGGAGATGGAACTCAATGCAGAACACTTAAACACTTAGAAATATTCAAGAAGACTTATTTTTACCAATCAATCAATTCAGGTCATTTTGAAGAAGGTAACTGTCGAAAATTGAGTTAATACACAGGTAAAACTTCATATTATCTGGAAAAATAGCATAATCACAAAAAAGGGAGATGATAGTTATTTTTTAAGGGAGCTTCGATTATTTCCCACAGTAAATAAAATTGATAAGATAACCTTTAAAACTTTAAAAGACTTAAAATAAGGATCTACTTGTAATATGAAACTGATATCAGGAAATTATGAGGTGATCTATACTTATGAGATAAAGACTTCAATCAGGAAAAATTATCTACTGAGTAGATTGTATTCTACTCAATTAATAGGTTGATAGTTTATGACATTGTATGTGTCACCGGTCTTAAGTATTGAAGTTATAGAATTAATTTGTGCATGGACGGGAGAAAATATCAGCAGCGAGTGATTATTTTAATGAGATTTATGAAGGGTCAATCGATACTTAATATTCTTGAGCGTCTTGAACAAGTAGTTAGCTAAAATAATTTTCAATCAATATGTTCACGCCGTATCTCTGTATATTGTCTTTATGTACCCGTTAAACTTATCGTATTATTTTATATTTTCTTATAAATATTGTATAGATATGCGTGGCTTCTGGCGATTATGCTAATGCGATTCCATCACAGAACACGGTACATATTTGTTCAAGTCTTTGACAGAACACGGGACCACCATCGAGTGAATGCCATAAGTCACGTTTAAAAGACCATGCGAACGTTTGATTACAGTCATTACCTGGCACCTGTATTATAATAAGGTTCATCCAGGCCAGACTTACGTTTTGCGGGTAAATATGTATCTCCCCAAAACTGTTGGACGGTTTGTGTGGTGACCAGTGGTGCAATAGTTGGAATTTTCCAGCATTATATCAGCCATCGCATCTGTGCATACTATTGGTCAACAGTTGGAGTATTCCGGCATTACACCGTTTTTCAGACTATTTCACCCGGCTTATCACTCTCTTATAATCAATGCGTTCGTAGTGGTTTTTTTCTTTCAAAATACAAGTTGTTAAATCTTTTACAATATTTCAATGTCTGTTGTTATGATGATTCGTACGACAAAATGCATTATTGTCATTACGACAAGCTAATTTCAAGTGTTATTAAAACCTAATCCTGTATCTGAAACGCATCAGACTTGTCTTTATGAAGGTAAGATGGATATATGTAATATGACTTACGTTGTCAATTGAAAAACGGGGAAATACAAGATTAGTTTTTAATAAAAATAACTTGTCATAAGTATAGTTTTGACTTTGGTTGTGACATGATGTGTATTTGTTCTCTCCGTAACTACTATAGCAGTTATGAATTTACCAGTATAATACTGTTGTACCGTTTACAGTCAATTTTCATAATATCAGTGCAGTACCCTATTCCATTTAAAAATGAATCCCTTTCGCGCATGCAGACTGAGTCGCAAATCATTTTCTAACCTGTAAGGCTATGCGTTTTGTAATTGACCGACGGTGGCAAGCCTTTCTTTCTGCTTTTCATACAACCGTCGTGGCGGACATAAGTTTTTTTCGTCCTCCAACTCACGCTACCTCCACGCAAAAGAAACCGTTTTGAAACGCGTCACTTGTTATTGTTATAGTTTATGATATTGTTTTGTACCACATATATTTTTTAATTTGGTGCAATAAATATTAACGCCTTTTCGGAACGTATAATTTCATACTCTTTGGTATTGGTAAACTACGTCACAACATATGGCACGGTGCAATCGAAGCACACTAAAACGTTTCTCAAACGACCAACACATTGTGTTTAGGTGACCATTCCGACGAGTGACGTTTCGTACCATAGAGCAATGAACAATCACTATTCAATAATTCAACTCTATGTTCTATACCTTCGCGCCGTAATGAGAATGGTGACAATTGTCAATGCCTCCAGTCATCACCATGGTCCACAAAGACACGGAGCCAAAAACTCGGTTGATATTAACAGTTATTACTCGTGGGCAGGCCCGGATTAACATTATCTTAGGCCCTAGACACAGATGGTAAAGAAAATAAGAAGCCTTCTCTCTGAGAGAGGAAGTGTTGAATTTCACTGTTAAGCTTTTTTAAAACAAAAATATTTTTAACATATAAATCAAATCTAAACTTTTATATCATAATAATTTACTTGTTGTGCTAACATGTATATTAACTTATAATAATAATTATAAATAAATAAATAAATAAAAAAAAATATGACAAAAAAATTGTAGCCACACATTTTCGTAGGCCCTAGGCACAGTTCCTACAGTGCTTAATAGCTAATACGGCCCTGCTCGTGGGGCGTGATCAATAATCATAATATCACCAATAAGAGTATTTCCAAAATACAATAATTAAAATTTCTCATAAAAAAATTAAAAATAAATTTATTTATTGATTTAAAAATTTAGAATCACTTAAAAGTTCAATAACCATAAAATTTGATTTTCGTACAAATCTCAGAGGGGAAATTCCACTATCACCTCCCTCCCCTAAAATACGCCATTGCGACAATTTTGACTGCTACATTTTTTGTCTTTGTTTCATGTAGACGTCCACTTTTTGGCTTTTCATTAATAGTGTTTATCTATTTTATTTAATAGACAAATTTTTTCGAAATTTTAACAATTACAGTAGGTTACGATTTTCTTTAATACCTCATTCCATGTTTAATACGTGATGTGAACTATCATACTAACCAGATTTATAAAAAAAATTTAACATTTAATAAAAACTATATGCAAAATGTCATTAGTGTTATCGTAAAATATTTATAGAACGAATGATAAATAGATAAATTGGGACAGAACTAGGCATGGTATTTACTAAGACATGTTTAAAAAATATTTTTTGAACAATAAATTAGGTTACACTTAGCATAACATATGGAATTTTAAAAGTAGCCTTACTTTTTAATCAAAGACACTTGAGAAATTCTAATTTGTTTATTTATTTATTTTTTTGTGTTAAAAAACATTTTTAATTTTATGTATTTAATTTTATAAACTTAATAGAAAGTTTTTCATAGTTTTTTCTTACAAAAACAAAAAAATAATAATTTTTTTTTTTTACTAACTTTTGTGCCGTTTAAGGTTTAAATGTTTAAGAAATTGCTTAATTTCTTATTCCACTCAAAATCTTATTTTTACTTATATATCGGCTATTGGTTTTAAGTATTATTCTTATTATACATTATTGTATAAAAACTGTTATGACAGAGCCTTACATGTATTTTATACAAATTGAATACCCAACATTTTTTATTTTTTATACATTTGATTATTAAGTTTAAAACAACAACTATTAAAATTGTTATTTAGCTGATGGAAGTTATCTTGAACTAGACAATTATATTTTTAAAAGAGAAGAAGGAGGTTTAGCTCAATATGTGAATGATGAAAAAAAAAGTAATTATTGTGTTATGATCTAAATAAACAGAAAATAAATAAATTAAGTCTAAAGTTAATAATTAAACATTATTATGTTGATTTTAGAGGGAAGATTTATTACGCAATTTAGTTCAGCAAGGTGAAGAATTTTTGAATAAAAATCCTAATTGTGGGACAACACCACTTTTATTGAGAGCAACAGCTGGTTTAAGATTGTTAAATGAAAAAACCAATGAAATAATCAATCAAGTATTTTATTAATTTATTAATGTATGCAAAATCCTCAATTATTATTATTTTTAGGCGAAAAGCATTTTCAGTGAATATAACAAGATATTTCAAGTAGATGATAATTCAGTGATTATAATGGATGGTGACGATGAAGGGCTTTTTGCATGGTTCACAGTTAATTATCTCCTTGGTAAAATATTAAAATATAAGTAAATACTTTAATTATTTATTCATTATTAAAATTGTGAAAACATCTATATGTTTAGATAGATTAAACAATCTTGAAAATTCGGTAGCAGTTTTAGATTTAGGTGGTGCATCTTTACAAATCACCTATTTCCCAACTCATGAACATAAAATACCAAATAATACTAGATTTATAAAAGAGTATTCAATTATGGGAACAACGAAAAAATTGTATAACCAAAGGTAAATTATAAACAGAAGCCCGAAAATTATATTTTATGTGACAAATTATTGAAATATAAATATTTTAGTTATTTAGGCTTTGGATTTATGGCTGCACGAACAATTGTTTTCAAACCCGTAGATAGTAGAAATCTAGATTTTACTTCACCGTGTCAACACACAGCTTAAAAAATATCATATTTATTTAATCTCAAAACGTATTATGTAACGTAAGTTTTAATGTTTTTCTTAAGGAATAAAAATCGTTTTAAGTAAATTAATTTGTTTAAAGTTTAAAATTAAATAATTTGAGTATGAGTTTGACATTATATAGATGCTATGTATTTATGTGACGGTTTTATTTTTTAATTTAAATTTCAATAAATTATTACAGTGCAGAAGATTCAAATAGAAGTCCTATTATGCATTACCTTAGTTGTAAAAATTATATTGAAACTGTTGTTAAACAATCTGTTGAATCTGTACATTTAGATAAGAATATAGTAGCAATTTCTTTTTTTTACTATCAAGTTTTAAATGCTAATCTGATTGGTATGTTAAAATTTAAATATAATATTATCACATTTTATTAGTATTATTCTATTTATACCTATTATTTTAATTCATATAATATAATTATTAAGGTGAGAATGGAGGAGATGTTACTTTACAACAAATTGAAAAAGTTGTAAAACGTAATTATTTTATTGTTGTTATTTCTAATTAAGTATAAGTAGTAACAATTTATATGTCATATTTAAAATGTGTCAGTTATTAATATAAAGTATGACTTTTTTTAGAATGTTTTAATGAGAATTTTAAAAAAGATGAACCATTCAAATGTTTTGATTTGATCTATATTTATGTATTATTGCAACAAGGATTTGGTTTTCCTGATGATTCGCCAATCGCTGTTTGTATAATATTACATCGATAATTTCATAAAATTTTACTACTGAAGTTAAATATTAAATGCTTTCATATTTTAGTTCAGGAAATATATAAAAGATTTTGAATTAAGCTGGGCTCTTGGAGCTGCTTACCAAGCCTTAAAAGAAGACGTCCAAAGACAAAACATTGAAAATCACCGAAAAATGAAGATAACCATTATTGTCATAACATTTATATTTAATTACTGTTATCTATACATACCTACATACATCGATGTAATATGATATCATCTATAACTTCATTAGAACTATGTTTTTATTTTTCGCAAATTTTATTTTATTATTTTATGTTGTACATTTTTATTAAGCCTGTTAAATCATATTTATACTCTTATCATAAAGTATATGTATTTAAACTAATCGTATTAGTCCATTGTGGTTAAAAAAAAAAAAAAAAAATGAATTATGATTTGTATATTAATGTGAAAATAAACAATATGGTATAATCCGTCATAGAATTATATGTTTGTTTAAATATTCTGATATCAAATTTTAGGTGTCTATACTATTTTTTTCATAATTATTTTACGTGTAAATTTTATGTAAGACAAATTTATAAAAACGAAACATGACAGAATGTTTTGAAAAAAAATATTTCATTTGAATAATTTTCTAATATAAAAATTAAAAATAGGGTACAGATTATAGTATTTATAAATGAATATTATTTGAACATAGGTATATAAATATTTATTTTTTTTTTTTAAGTCAAAACGTCTTTTTTTAAATGTGTTAATAACAAAGCTATTTAAAAACCATGAAATGTTTAAAATGTAAAATAAAAAAAAGGGATAAGTAGAGGTAACTGCCCATTTTATTATTTGACAGTAGAATGGGATAAACTAAAATTACTCAAACTGATACTAGTGCAGTATAATGAACTTTTAAAAACTAAATTTATAATTTTCGTAATTTTTACTAAATAATCAATATTATAAATCTAATCAATCGATTTTTAGTTGACTTCTGGGCTCTGAATAATGATGATTTTTTATAAAATACGTTTAACTAAAATATTAAAGATGTATATTATATAAATAACTCTATTAATTATTAATGCATCACTGCATACGTATGAGTACGTATAAAATAGTCTAAAATTTATCAAAGAATCTTAGATTTTCTGTCATACTTGGAATAGCCATAAATGTAGTTTTCTCTATTATTTAAGAATTGATAAATCAATAATAAAAAAAATATTGCTACATTTATACTTAAACACTGCATACCAATTCTAAAAATAAATAAATTTAAATATGTATGTAATAATAGAGCCCAACTTAGGAAATATTGACCCGGGGCAATATAATTTAAGGACCTTTAATATTTGTTTAATATAATTTAAAAAATACAGAAAACATTAAAATAAGTAATAACACACATTTATTGCATTAATAAATAACATTTTTATTTATAGTATGTAAATTAATTTTTAATAGTTGAATAATATCTAAATACAAATATTAACCATCTAACAATTCTTATAATTTCAGTAAAAATTAAAATATTAATTAATGTTTACTGATATACATCATGCGCATTGCAGATAAAGTAGTAATACAATTTTAAATATAGGCAATGTAAATAATAAAAAAAAAATTACATGATATAAAATTCAAGCTAAAAATTTATTCGAGATTTTAGTTCACTAAACTTCTGAATTTTATCTGAAAAATCAAACGTGTTAGTTATTTCCCTTTCAACAAATAGACGAATGAGTGAGTTTATTTTTTATCGGTGAAAGGACTTTCTTCTAACGTTTTCAATTAGCTCTAATTTTGAATTTGTTGTTTCTGCTTCGCAATTAAAAATTAACTAAGTTAAATTAAGTCGTAGAGAAATGTAAACATTTGGAAAGACTTCTTTTAAATTATTTTCATATATGTATAGGTGTACATATATAAGTAAATATTTTGAGAAGAAATTATTGGTAAATTTAACTGTATTACTTATATGATTTTAAAAATACACAATTTCTTGTTTTATATTAATTGTATCGATATCACATTTAAATGTAATAATGAATATGTAGGTAGAAGTTTCTGATAGTAATTCTGAATAAAATTTCGTAATAAACCTAAAAATATTACTAATGTTATCATAATATGCGTTTAATATTTTATTAAATTCAGTAACTAAACGGTTAATAATATTTCACAAAAGTTTGAATTTTCTTTAATTGTACGATCATAGAATTTTTTTTCTAACACTTTTTTCTCTACAAAACAAAATATTTTTTGATAATTTGCTAGCTTTATTTTCAATATATATCATATATTCTCTCCTTATGAACTAATATAAGTTTTTAATCCTTTAATAATTTTACAGCTATAAATAAATCTATTCCTGGTTTTTGAAGGTATTTGTTAACAATGTTAAACTACAATAACATTTCACTTCACGTAACTGGCTGTTGCAGTTCACGTGATCACACACATTGACACGTGTTTAAACTCGGGTAATAGATAAACGCGTTGATAATTAGATGACAGGATGGGTTAAATAAATGATAAAGTATTTTTGTACTTTATCTTAAAAGTTAATAGCTTATTTTATCGATTAGATAATAATCTAAAATTACAATAAGAAACGTGACTAACGAGTTTTGTATAAATATTTAATGAAAGCAATAATATTATAAAATGTCAGTGTCACTTTAATATTTATTTATCAATAAGAGCCCGGATCCCGGGGCTACAGCTCCTTAGCGTCCTTTTCCTAAATTGAGCTATGTATAAGGAAGATAGTATTTTGCGCCAATTTTATTACTTGTAATTTGCGCCACGAATAAGCACATTTAAGCGCGTATATAAGTTGCGCCAAAATATAAAAATATAACAGTATTTTGCGCCACATGTACAAATAATTTTGGTATTTTGCATCACATTTTCAACTTCAATACCAGCAGATAAATTAACTGATATCGCATATAATATGTACTGATGCATGTCCAATATAATTTTTATATTGCATTTTATTTTATTTTTATATATTTTATTACTAAACGAAAATTTACTTATTTAATACACGTGGCGTTTGTTTTACTTACATACATTTATTTATAATTTTAATATTAGTGGCGCTAATAACAATTTTAATAAGATGAAGAATGAATCAAATTACAATTTTAGTAGGTACACGATGGTATAAATTACATAATGGCTTTTTATTTAGTTTTACTTAGCGCAAATTACCAAAATAAATTTTTAAATGTGGCGTAAATGACATATATTTATTTATTATTTTTTTTTTTTGATTGTTTTTTGCGTAAATTACATACGCCTATGTATAAAAGGTTAAGTTAGATTAAGTTTTGACCTTTTTACGCTACTCGTTAACTTACTCAGGTATGACTCTTTTTTAGGAAATCAGTGTGGTCAACCTATAAAGAGATTAAAAAGCTGTTATTTTTATTAATATAAATTAAATGATGTGTGTCTGAATGGAAGTGAGATGAAATAAATTGTTATCAACTCCCGTTGCTTAAATGAAAATAAAAAAAACATTATAATAATATCGTTGAAATATTGTTCATATAAAATATTATTTGATATATATATATATAATGTTTTATTTAATTTATTATTTTCGTTTTAATTAAGGTATATAACAATTAATCATTAGGTTTAATACAATATACATTACACGAACAATGGTCTTAAAATAGAGAGAATACAATTACATGATATGTAAAATATATTTACACAGTTGAAAAGAAATAAAAACTCAAGTCGGTCATATAAGGTATTAAAGTACCTAACGTTATTAACTATGTAAAGAAATAAACAAAGTTCAATATTTTTAGCAGAAGTACAATTGTACATCATTTATGTAGGTATATAAATAAACTATTTTATTTAAATTAACTAGGTAATAATAAATATTAATAGAAGTACAATTTTTCAATGTTGTTGTATACAGCTTATAATACTAAGTTAAAGCGCTGGTAACAAAAAAATATTCGTTACCTACTTTATGTATTAGTATTTGTAATACTTATAAATAGAGCATGGTTATGAATGCATTTCTATATTTATTCTGGTGGATCATATGGTATTTTAAGTAAGAAAAATGTGTTTAGTTTTGATGTAGAAATTGGAAGAATGAACTTTTTTTTTATTTGCATTAGAATTTATACAATCTGTAAATATTTTTTCTTACAATGAGCACAAATGACGTCTAAAAGTTAATATAAGAAGATAAAATAAATGAACTACATTTTAGAATCTGAGGACTTGAGAGGGGCGTAACACGATTGCTCATTTTTTACCTTTTTATATTTGAAGAATACAACACGATCGCGCACAAAATTAATTTAATTTTACATTGCTGGCTTATCGTAAATGATTGTAGTTTAAAAAAATATAGTCCAAAATCTGAACAAGGTATTTGGTTGACACAATTTTTTGCATTAGGATTTTTACCCTCGGAAGATGTAGAAAATGCTTTTGCTTATTTAATTGATAATAGCCCTACTGATAATTTTGAATTCACTGATTTTATACTGAACAATTTCATATCACTTGATGCCAATTTTCCATAGATTTTATGGGTACTGAACCTTTAATAAAGGCAATAACTTAAAGGTAATTAGGTAAAAGATACGCGAGCGTGTTGTATTTTTTTCTGGTAAAAATGTAAAAAGTGTGCAATCATGTTGCACCATTTCAGAGAAACCATACAGTGATCAATCTTTGTGATATGGAGTGAGAAGTTTATTTAATTAGTAAGTTACTACACTTAATTCGTTTTAGATACCTTTTGGGGTTACCTGGAATACCTGGAATGAATGGACAAACTCGAGTTGAGTCCCAGATTTCAAAAATAACATGAGTTGAGCTTTGATATAGTTTATGAAATATATGAATTGGGTACCGGTATATTTTATAGAATATATGAATTGGGTCTCGGTATATTTTATAGAATACATGAGTTAGAACTAGCCTACTTGCATTATCCTGGAGATATCACGTGGAAGTGGGCTAGAATAAAGATGATGCATGCATTTTATTTAAAGATCAAAAATATAGATTTGTACGAGAAGTGGTCAGCGGTAATATGTCATGAGGTGTATTAAAAGAAATAATTGTGCCAGGGAGAAATACCTGGACGGCTAAATAAATCGTATGGAATATGTAAAATAAATTGGATTAAAAAAATCAACCTATTAATTAAAATTATATTTATTTGTTGTTTATTATTGACAATTTTTTTTTTTAAATCGAAATATCAAACGATACCTTTGGCACTTATATCATTCGTTGGGTATAACAGGTATATAATATAAGATTGGCGCTTATGTCATACAGTCAAATATTATTGCTTAATTTACATAATATTTTCAACAAAAAGATCAGATTATATTTTATAAAATAGACGATTTGTATACAGTACGTAGGAAAAGGAGAAAGAGAACGGGAAAAAGGATTTTAGTGGATTTTACTAGTTATTGTCTGACGCAGTCTACAATAAGAATGTTGTGACTAAGTCGTCAAGTCGTAATAAAAATAATAATAATAATAAATCTATACCTGGTGGGAATGACGATGGTATTTACATTCACATTAAAAACTCAATACATAAATATATATATATGTGTTACTCAAAAGGATGGATGTAATTGGACCAGGAGTACAGGGGCCTGGCTTTTTTTTGAAAACTTGTTGAAATAAATTCGTTAACTTTTTAAATTTCAATATATTTATGTATTAATTGATAATTTATGAATTATAATATTTTAATATTTTAATCTGTTAGTGTTCTCTGTTAACTATAGATATCTAAAAAATCATCGTGTATAAAACACCTGGTTTCAATTAAAAAGGATTGTAGTCATTTTTGATTAGAGCGCTTAAACTTTTTCGTTTCTAAAAGTTAAATTTAGCATTAATGCATACACCTTGATATCTTGTACTAGTTCCTTACTTTTTCAGCTAAGTGAAAACCACTTTATTTATTGATGATGGCAATAACAATTATCCTGCTCATAATTCAACAGTAAAGTATACACCTACTAAAATCTGTTAGAAGTTAAATCGTTAAAATGTACGTTCAAAGGGAGTGTTAAAGAAACCTCGGATTTTATGTTGAACATTTATAAAATAATAGTAAAACAACCACTAATGTATAATGCAAAACATAAAATTGTACATTAATTTACACACTTTTTGGAGTGGTATTTAAGTTTTCAATAGTAAAAATGAATTAATGAAATACAAAATATAATATTATAATAGTGTATTTATATTTGCAAATACAATAAAATTACATTCGTTATCATACCATTTTTGAAACCAAAATAAAAAAATGCAAAAGCGTAAAACAATCAATGTTATATATATTCACGGAAAAAATAAACATGGAAACTAATCATTTTATAGAATGACATTTGAAAATTAAAAATATTTAAATATAAACAAAGTTAGGCTGTAATTATGATATTAGGATTTATTTTCTTTTAGGTACTCATAGCCAATAATACTAAATCTTAAGCTATAAATAGATAATTAGAGATAATTTTTTTTCTTTTTTAAAGCTAAGAAAAGTTATTAATAATTTAATGAATATTTTTTCTGTTAAAATAACTTTCAATATATTAATTAGATAAAATGTATAAAAATAATAAAAAAATTTTGGTTTATTTAATATAATAAATAATTTAAAAATTGTAATTATAGTGAATGTAAATTTAAATCTGCAGTTTATAACATTTTGTTTATGTTGGCTATTAAAAAAAAATAATGAAAAAAAATATAAATTTTTACTCAAAATAAAATAATGATATTATACAATTATAAATATAGATAGTTGCAATAGTTAACTTTTCATAATAATATACACCGTGTAGTTATAATTTAAAATTCTAAGGTGTGCAAGGTCAGAAGTAGAACATTTTATGTTAGTCTGGATGGATTATATGTGCCAGGTTCTTGTATGAAAAAAAAAACTCTGTTTTAGTTTAACTAAACTAATAACGTAAATGATAATTTTTTTATATCATCATATAAATTATAAGTTCTATGTATAGTTTTGTACATATGTGAGAGGTTATTTATACAATTATCGCATAGTTGTAGTTTTATTCACTACTTCACCAGCCTCTACTATTCCCATGTAACATAAACTAATACGAACTAATTATTATCTATTTTAATTAATGTCTACAAAAATCAGACCCTAATAAATATAAATTATGTATTTTATCAAAATAAATATTATAAATAAACGTTGTACATTGTGTAATGTGTAAATAATCAATCTATCAATGACTCCATATTTAAATTTTACTAAGAATTCTTAGCATGTCATATTATAGGTATTATAAAAAATCTTTTCGTTAATTTTTGGACTTAAAAATGAAAATTGTAATAGAGTTAATAAAATCATTAAATTATGTGTAGAATTTTTTTAATTTTATTAATTAGTTTTTAAAATTTCATGAAATCTAAAAATATTTTTAAGTTTGGCATATACTGTAAACATATTGTATGTAATTCTCATACTATCAACTTAGTAGGAATGCATACGGTAGAGCAAAAAACAATTTCTGAAGTTAAAAATATCATAAACTGAGTGAAAAATAGCGTGATCATTAGTGATTCTTTAAGAAAGAAGCAATAGGAAAGCATAGTTCTTGAAAAGTCAATGAAAAAATTAATTTTAGATGTTCTAACACGATGGAATTCAGTTTTTTATATGATCAGTAGGTTGGCAGAGATCATGACATTAATAATTTTATTGCATTACAAACTGAAGGTTATATACTGCTTCTGTGATGCTAGTTGTGATTAAAACTGATACGCTACTGTTAGATTTATTAAAACCATTGGAATTTGTGACAAAAGAATTTTCTGGGAAAAATGACCTAACAATTTCCAAAGTCATACTAATGATCAGCTGCTAGCTAAGATAATTTTGCACAAATTAAATCGCACTTTGAGGTAATTTGTGAGATGAACGATTTATTACATGCTGAACTGACTCAACGATTTTGAATGATTGAACAGGTCAAATCAATTGCAATTGCTACACTTCTGCACTCGAGATTTAAAAATGTTCATTTTTATGTTCTAGTAGCCCATTTAAGTGCAATGGAAGATTTAAAGTTGTCAAAGTTGAACATCATTAATTCTAGTGAGTCTGAAGGAGAACATTTTAAAATGGACAACTTCGATTGTTGAACACATCATAAATATTTGGTTCATGGCCAAAAAAAGAAAAATACCACGATTTTTATGAACGAAGAGTTATCGTTATACTTATAAAATGCAGTATTCTGGATTTTAAAAATTCTTGAAAAATTCAATTTCTTTTATTTCAAGAAGTCCTATCCTCTTGAAATATGGGAAGTCAATAAACACATATTTCCTATTTTGTATAAACAAGCACGTATGTATTTCACCATGGTTGTAACACTTGTAACGTCCGTTACTTGTGAATGAGTTTTTTCTAAGGCTGAAGCAACATTAACTAAACTCAGGAATAGTTTAACTAGTTCTCGTCTTCAAAAATAATTTCTTTCCAAAGAAAGATTGGTTTTAGTTATATTTTTTGGACTAATAGTTTTTTTATGTGTGTGTTAAGACTAGTCAATAATAATTATTAATTATCAACTATAACATTATTATTTATTGGTATTTTGTATAAATTAATGTATAATAAATATGTTAATAAATAATAAAAGATAATTTGTATTTATAATTTAAATTATATTTAGACTTTAAAATATAATTTAAAATACTCGGATTTTACTAATGAATAGAAATAACAATAGAGTAGTGAGTCTACAGTTTTTGGCCGTTGGTAATAATTTTATAAATATTTTTAACATTCAGTATTATCGATATCGGTAGGCATCGAATAATATAGATATTAGATACTATGAAATATAAATTTATATAATGATTTGATATATTTATTTCGATATTTTACAGATATAAATATTTGTATTCGATACTATAAGTATCGATACTTTCTTTTGATACCCTATTCCAACACACAACCAGGGACGGACTGGCATAGTGTGCTGTACACTAAGTAGTACTCCAGATCCTTGTTCGTAATAATTATTCAGGCTCCCGATTACAATTGTCGAGCCCGTTTTAAATTAACTCTTATTGTAATGTAGAATCGTGTAATAAGCCTAGGGCGCATTTATATAAAATTGTCTTATAACATATATTGTACGTTGTGTACGTATTATAAATAATATAATCAATAATGCAAGCGATGTGAAGCCAGTACGAAACCACTAAACATAGTATTATTAAATTTAGCCATTTAGATATATGCTCATACATCGTTCACTTCTCGGAAAAGGCGAAAGCCCGGATAGTGAGACGACAAGGATATAAATCTTATTGCGAGACCCCTTGTATAAACAGAGTTGCCACCGCTCTTTTGTAAACCGATCATATATATGGGAGCTCGGGACAAGGGCTCAGCAGACGGTTAAAGAAGACATTTTAAGGCAGATCGTAACACCACTCACACTACTGTCTATCATTGTTTTAGATTCAGGTCGTAACACCGCTCACAAAACAT